CGCTGGCGGACGGCGGTGCCAGCAGAGAGGTGACGGGGAGCAGGCGCGGCTGGGCCCTCGCTGGCTTAGGCGTGTCTGTGCCGAGGCAGCCGAGGGACCTAACAAAGTCCCAGTGGAGGATTTTCAGTGCGGGTTGTGTTTAGCCTGACGGCTCGTGCGACAGCATCTCTGCCTCCTTCAGGTTCATCCGTCGTTCAGTTTTACCTCGTGTTCCGTGTGTTGCTCTTCTCGTGTGTGTACAGGTGTCTGCATGCTGTTTACTTTTTAAAGTATATTTTCATTGATTTCAGAGAGGAAGGGAGAGGGAGAGAGAGAAACATCAATGATGAGAAAGAATCATGATCGGCTGCCCCCTGCACGCCCCGCACTGGGGATGGAGCCCACAACCCGGGTTCATAGGCCGATGCTAACCCCTGAGCCGCACCAGCCGGGCTGTGCGTGTGTTTTATGTCAACATTACGTTCCTCGGTGGTGGAGGAAGCTGCAGGCGTCATGCTGCTCCTCATCATTCACTCAAGTTTTTAGGCCCAAAACCGGGAGATTCTGCGAGGACAGAGCCTTGTTTGCCGCCCAGGGCCACGGGCTCCCTTCCCGCCGTTTGTCACCGCTCACGGCGGCGTCCTGGTCTGACCCCGGTCGATCGTTCCGTGGCACCTCCCTCCGCGGACCTCTCTCCGACCAGACGCAGCCCTGCCCGGGCCTGAGGCTCTGTGGCAGCAGGGCTGTTGCCAGGCCCCGCCGGCCGTGAGGAGCGGGATTCGTCCCAGGCCAGCGAGCGAGGGACCGGGACGCACTGACTTTGTCCCGAAGTCGGAGCTGCTCGCAGCTAACCCTCCCCCCTCCCCAGACTGCAGGACCCGGGGGCAGTTCAGCGCCTTCTCCTACCATTTCCGAGGCCGGCGGTCCCTTGACTTCAGTTACCGGGAGGGCGAGCCCCCCACGGAAGCAGGGAAGACACTGAGGTATGGCGTCCCCGAGGGTCAGACTGTCCACACCGCGGGCCGGCCCAGGCCCTGGGCAGGGACGTCCCACCAGCCGCCGGCTGGGTCTTGGGCCCCAGACAGCCCAGGTGCCCTGGGGCCTGTGTGTGAGTGTGTGCGACGCCTCCTGTCTGCTTCCCCGTCTCCCTGCAGCGTCGGGAAGCCCGGCCAGCGCCCCAGGAACGCCACGGCTGCCTCCTCTGAGCACCCCCAGGCCCTGGGGCCCAGCGACTTCCGGGACTTCGTGCTGGAGATGCAGCAGACCATCACGGACCTCCGGACACAGGTGCCACCCCGCCATCCCCCCTCTTAGCTCGCGTCTCCCACAGACTCATCTCTGACCCCGGTGTGAACTCTGCAACGCCCCTTACCTGGGGCCAGGGGTCTCACTGCCTGCTGGCTCTTCTCCTGGCTCGTCCTGGGCCGGCCACACTGAGTCCCTCAGTTTCCCGCCGATCAGGACCCTCCGTGGGGCCCAGGCTCCCGGGCAGGGCCTTGGGGTGACCCCAGTTACCCGGGCAGGGCTCGGGGTGACCCCAGTTACCCAGGCAGGGCCTTGGGGTGACCCCAGTTACCCAGGCAGGGCTCGGGGTGACCCCAGCTTCCCGGGCAGGGCCTTGGGGGCCCCAGTTACCCAGGCAGGGCCTTGGGGTGACCCCAGTTACCCAGGCAGGGCCTTGGGGGCCCCAGGCTCCCAGGGCAGGGCCTCCTTCCCAGGGCCCACAGCTGCACCCACCTGGCTGTAGGCCCCACATCCCCCTCCTCCTCCACCTGTGAGACCGGAGTGCCTGAGGCCTGGCGACTTGGGTGCAAGGGAACCACTAACATTCAGGTGTGGGCACGCCCACCGGAGGCGAAGCAGGCAGGGCCGTCCCAGAGCTCTGGGAAAAGCCATCAGCTGTCAGGGGAGCTGTTTGAGCCCCAGAACATCCTGCAGAGACGTGCCTGCGTCCCTGCCCGTCGCGAGGCGCCGTGTCCCGGGGCGGGCAGGGCGAGGGCCACACTCCCGTGGACTGACCGCGCACACGTTGACTTTGCAGATAAAGAAACTCGAGTCTCGGCTCAGCACGGCCGAGTGCACCGACGCGGATGGCGAGCCCCACGCGGATGGCGCCCGGTGGAAGCGAGACGCGTGCACCGTCTGTGAATGCCGCGTGAGTACAGCTCTGTCTCGGGGACCCGGGGCCTGGGCCACGGACTCGGCTGCAGAGTCCTGAGCCCCCAGTGGGCGGCCGGGTGGTCAGCGAGGCCCTGCTCACCGGTGGGGTCTCCTCCCTCTTCCCTGGGCAGCCAGGGGGGTGCACACCTGCAGGGACAGTGGGCAGGGACAGTGGGGTCCTTTGTGGCCGGGGTCTGGCTGCAGTTGGGCCGGGCAGGAAGCTCTGGGAAGACCACTGGGGGACAGGACGAACCGAAGCGGTCAGACCTGGGCACAGGCTGGAACACGGGCGGGAAGCGGGCGTGATGCTCGGGGGTCGTCCCCGGAACTGACCGGTCTGGCGCCACCTCCCTCCAGGACGGGCAGATCACCTGCTTCGTGGAAGCCTGCCAGCCCGCCGACTGCCCGGCACCCGTGAGGATCGATGGCGCCTGCTGCCCGGTCTGCCTGAGGGAACCCCCCGGAGCCCAGGAGAC